TAATTACTATATCAACTTTTTGGTTATATTTATTAAGTCTAATAAAAATAATATATCAGGAATTGATTCTACACAAGTTAGCTCTTTAAATATTTTATTAAGCATATAAGTCTAACGAAAATAAATCTAACAGTTCTTATTATCCTATAAATAAGTCTAACGATTCTTAAGTTTACTGAAAATAAGTCTACCGTCCTTATTACCCTCTAAATAAGTCTAACGATTTTCTTAAGTCTAATGAAATTTAAAAAATAAGTCTAACTATCCCAATTCTCTCGTTATAAATCTAACGAAAATTAGATATTAGGAATTGCTTTTGTGTTAGCCAACTCATTATCTAGCATATTATTTATATAAATTTAACAAAAAAATTTAAGTCTAACTATTCTGTTCTACCAGTCTAATAAAAAGTATATATCAGAAATTGACTTTACGTTAGCTAACTCCTTATCTAATTAATATATTATTTATTTAAGTCTAATGATTCTACCTTACCGGAAATTATTAAATCTAATGAAAAATCAATATTCCTACTATAAAAATCCAGAAAAATTCCATAGAATTATCCTAACTTTTCATTAGTCAAGAACAGATTCTATACAAGCTGGTTCATCAGATAGTATATTATTTATAAAAGTTTAATGAAAAAAATATAAAGTTTAATAAAAATTTAGCAAATATCTATTGGATATTGTGCCTGAAATTCTGGCTAAGATTTAGTAAAGAGTTAGCTAAAATAATTTTCCATTAATTTTGATCAGCAACTATCAAAATATTCTCTCTCATCCATTTTTATCGGAAGGAGGCATTCTCTGCAAAGAGTAATATTAAGAATTGCAAGCTTGTCTCTAAGGATAATCATTATTTGCTCAAAAGTTTCTTTTTGCATGTTTGATCGAAGTCTAATATAATGCTAAATAATATAATAGCCTCTAACATGTAGTGGGCATCAGTCATAAGCAGAGAATATAAACTTATCACAATCAAAATATGGTATCTGTTTTTTAGCTTTCCAATGAAAACGATACCCTTTAAGGTAAATGCAAGGATTTTCATAAGCCTTTCTAATATTGCAAAGATATAAGCAAGAATATTCACTAATCATCCTATTTTTTATCACTAAATTTTGAAAGATTAATTAATGCTTTAGTTTCATAATAGCCTAAAACTATCTTAGCAAGTCTGCAAATACCGATAACTCTATGATCGAAAAGTGAAAGAATAGGAAATAATTAATTAAAGAAAAAATTTTATAAGCAAGTAATAGTGTGCTGGTTAGAGTTAACACCATGATTAGAAAAACAAGAAGTGATAAAAAAGATACAATTTGTAAATGTTGTGATCATAACTACTCAACGTTCCAAAAACTTCAAAGCATCTTAAACAAAAAAATCCATGCAAACTAGTGATACCTAATTAAACTCTTTTTTGAAAAATTGTAATTTTGTCAAAAATTTCATCTCTTTAATATTTTTATATGAATAAATATAAAATTATTATATTTTTTAATGTATTTTAATTTAAGGAATTTAGATCAAGTTAAATATAATTTTGGCAATTAAGTAAAATAATTTTGTCATTAATAAAAAACTAGTTTCATCATTTTAGTTTCGTCAATTTCATCATATTAAGAAAAGTAATTTCGTCAGATATCACTAATGCAAACTATTACAAAAGCAGAAGAAAGTAACTTCTATTTAAGAAGCTAACCAATAGGTTATTTAAGCTCCTGAAATCAAAGCACAGGTAAAAAGCTTTTGTATAAATATGAGCAATAAGAATATTTATATTATTAGCAAAAAAGAGGCAAAAAATTGGGTTAATCCAAATGCTTGCAAGCCTTAAAAGTAATTTAGGACATGTAAATTGGTAAAAAGATGGAAAAAACTTGGTTTAGGTGACGAAATAGCTGTCAAATTCTTTTTCATGATCTTAAGCAATATGATGAGGATGCAGTTAGACCACATACAAAAGAGGAATTAGAAAAATATGAAAAGATGTTAGAGTCTGAAAGTGATCCTGAACCTAAAATACAATCATTTAGAAAAGGTAATAAATCTAAAAATTTGACTAATAAAGAATTTAAGCGCTTAGAAGAAATTACTAATGAATAAGAAAGAGATCTAAAATTTAGGAAGCAAGAAGAATTGAGCATAGCACTTAAAAGAAGAGCTATAGCAATGCATTGTGCAAAAGTTTTCAAATCTCATTCTGATAATGAAAGTGATATACAAAAAATTTTAAAAGTCGAAGAAAGCAATTTAGAGAATTACTTAAGAAAGAATTTGACAAGCACAAGTAATTCAAGTTTGCTTTATACTTATTAGGTAAATTTCTCATAGATGATAAGCCTGGAAATAAAAACAAAAAAGTTCAAGAAGTGATTAGTTGCGAAATAAACAAATTATAGTTTACAATCAGGCTGAAATTGATGACTATTTTAGCAATGCTTTTGAACAAATAATATATCTAGTAGAAGAAAGAGGAGGTAAACCTAATATTTGAGAATATATTTGGATGGCAATACTGTATCTGTCCAGATAATTTGGAGTTCTTCTCTCACAAATAAGCATCTAGGACTATTGTAAAGCTTATAGAAAACAGGTTGATTTTCTTTTATCAAATATGAATCAATTATAAAAACTTCAGAAGACCAATTGAAATTGGTTGCCCTTCTTCTACTATCTTTTAATTTACCAGATTTTAATAGATACCGAAATTTAGTATAGCTCAATAAAAGTAGTTCATTATAACCAACTGGTCTCCTATGATTGACAGGTCTAGCTATTATTTTTTTGCTTTTTAATGCTCTTTTCACAGCCTCATTAGAAGACATTTTTATTAACTTAGTGGGTATATTATTATAATTATTATCATTTATACGAAGTTCCTTAACCCATACTCTGAATCTATCAGTCAAAGGTAAATGAAAATCTTCAGCATCTTGCCAAAAATAAGCATGTTTTTCAAATTCTTGATGATCACATTCAGCAATAGCTACATCACGTTTAGAGTTAGTATACTAAATTCTTACATTATAACTGAGTAATAAATCTTTATATTCACCCAAATATTCAGTATCTCTATCTACAATAAAATCTTCAGGTGGATTAAGAGGATCATTAGGATCATTGTAAATTTTCTGAATTGCTTTAGCCATTTGTGTAGAAGATTTATCAGTTAATGCAAAACTAAGTTGATATCTAGTTACAATATCTTTGATAATGCCCCTATACTTATAAATCTGATTACCTACTTTATCATGAGGCATGGGGGTAGTATCAGATTGGTGCACTTTATTTAAAAATTGTATATTATTAAAGGAGACAAACTGAATAAATTTTGCCTAAGGTTTGTGAATCTGATGTAAGGCCTGTTTGTTAAGCCAATTTTTTATAATGGCTAAAGTAAACCTATATCTGGCTTTCTTACAAGCAGGTTGTATTTTTTCAGCAGTTCGATAATATCCCTCAAGTCTGTAATAATATTCTTACAAAGTAAGATCCTGGTTTAACTCTCGCATTTTCTGAGAATCAATATAAATAATCAGTTTCCCTATTCCAATTTTTTATAATTACGAAAAAAGTTAATATTTATGAAGTTAAATTCTACTCATTACACTTTTTTCTTTATACTTTTGCCTAACTTCTATCTCCTTTAGCAGATTTAATAGAGTGTCAAACCTTAGCTGAATTGCAAGAGGATCATCCTCTAACCTACTGAGATCAAATATAATAAACTCACCTTTGCAGAGGTAACTATTAATACTATGGATATGTCCTTTATATCATTAGTAAATCGTCTAACAAACTTAGACATGTCTTGGATACTGCTACCAGAGTTAAGTAATACTAAATGAATTGAGTTTTTACGAATGAATGTATTGACTCTATGATATTTTTGCATTACATATACACATAAAATATTTCAGCGATATTCATTCCTAAAAAAACTGGCCAATTCGATTTTGTATATGCTCTAGAACTAAGCATACATTTTCAAAAATAAATACTTTGCTTCTCTCAGGTGAGAATGCTCTTATACTAGAAATTTTTTCAGGTGAAATGTAACTGAAACTAATATCCTTATAGTAAGGTGCTCTTGGATCTTTTGAAATCATGTTATATATATATCTCACATATACCTATTTCAGTTCATCAGGATGTAACTGCAAACTATCAAATCATCACATCTAATATATCAAGACTCACCTTTCTTCTCTCTTTGAACATATTTATCCTTATCACCAAGAATAAGATTTGCAAGTAAATTAGTCTCACCTGTACCACTTCTTCATCTGATTATCATAGAAAAAGGTCATGTCATTGATGGATGACTGATGTTTCAGGATAACTCATGCTTTGTGACCTTATCTATATTTAAAATATGAAGTTTTATAGGGGATAGTCTTATCTTTTGGTTCTTTCGCGTAATGGATTAGGAATCTATAACTCTGATTTCTATAGACTAGATAAAAAATTTCTTCCTTTTTGATTGGATGAAAAATTCACTTGTATATATACCATATAATTAATATTATCATAAAGACAAAAATAACAAATTTGAATATAGGCAGAATTATATACTGATCATTAACTAAAGTATTGCTACCTCCTAATGTAATAACGGATTAGCTGAAATACTATCATAATCTTCTTTTCCATCAGATTCGTGCTCTGAGTAGTGTAAAGAAAAATAGTGTATCTCTTCTACTACTTTATCATGCTTATAATCATTAGATAATGAGGTTGAATTCACTTTTGTATTACTTATTTTTTGAATCATGAATTGTCTGATGCAGTTGCGAAACAATCTGATCTAGTTTATCTTCCAGATTACTTATCCTGAACCTGAGACAGAAAATTAAACCATCCTTAAATGATGAATTTTTACATAACTTTCTCTAATTTATTTTCCAATTATTTTGCTTTAATCTCAAAAGAGGAATTGTTACACAACTTGATAGTATCAGAATCCTTTAATAAACCTTTTTACGTAGCTTATTCTAACTCAGCTTCCAGTTTATTTATTTTAGTTCCAAAAGAAATGATATCAGAATCCTTCAAAGATGAAGCTTTTTGTATCAAAGATATTATACTTTCTAGTGATTTAACCGTAGACTTTAGCGATTCTATTTTTTTTAACTGCTTGGCATTAAGATCAGCATGAGAATTTTGTTCGCGAGTAATTTGGGAGACAAGCTTATTATTCAAACCATTTAGTTAATTAGCTAGGAGAATAATTTGATTTATAGAATTATGCATATGCTCATTTTCTTAATGCAAGTAATTTAGATCATCTTACATGTGCTCATTTTTCTCATACATGTAATTTAGATCATTTTGCATACACTTATTTTTTCTAAGATAAAATATTTAATTATAAGCTGTTTGGCAGATCTTATAAACTTTTCACAATCTTTTTTAGCTGTTCTTCAAGTTCTAATTGGCTTAGTAGATAACAATTAGATAGAAGGCTTTCAAGCTTACTACTATTACTATTACCTATATCATTTAAAGTATAGACTCGAGGTATAGTTTTTTATTCCACAAATAAAGGCAAAAAAAATAATATTTTTGAAATAATGTGTTCTTTCTATATTTTTAAAATAAACATTTATTTCTTTAACTCAGTAAATATTTTTGAAATAATATATTTTCCTATTTATCCTAATAAAATATTTTTGAAAAAAATACATTTCTTTCATATATTCGAAAGAATATATTTCTCCTAATTATTCAGAAAAATACATTTATCCTAATTATTCTATTTAAAAAAATATACTATCATGATTATGGTTACAATGTATAAATTGTAATGCATCTCTATTTTCACCAATTGATTATGATTTTATTATACAACGCTATGATGAAAGGCTGAGAATGAAAGTATTAGATGAATTGATGAACAAATATAACATATCAATGAAACATATATATCAGATTTGGAAAAGCAAGAAGCTAATAGAATTGCCTGAAATCAACCAATAGCTGATATTTCTAATACTACTTATGCTGGTGGGTGTTTACATGTAGTAAACTACGATCCACCTTCTGCTATTTCCTTTCTACCTGTCTTATCACTAAAGAAAAATAGCCAAAAAAGAAAACAGGTAAAACAAGTGTAGCATCTACTGAAACAGAAACAGAAGTGCTTTCACAACGCATTTCTAATACCACTGACAATACTGATATTATATCTAAAATGTGATATGAACTTGAAGAGGTATTAAAACAAATGGATGATATTAAATAACTTACTTTTTTCAGCAAGTATTTTTATAGCACTTATTGCTTTACCAAGCTACTCTTTAGCTTTTGCAAGACATTCTTCAAGTTTTGTACAGTTTACACACTTTTTTTTAAACTTTTCTCGCTAGTCTAGAAGGAGTCATGTGGCTCTCTTTTGGCAGATTCTTAACTACTAAAGCCTTGCTAAAAGTTGGAATAATATATGTCTTTCTATGATTCTCTATACGAAACTGATTTTTAGTCAGATTAGAAATACCTTTGACGAATTCCTGTCATACTTAACTATAGCATTGGATTGGACTCATCATTATTAATACAAGCATAATTTTCAATAATAGCGAGTATTAGGTTTCCTTTCATGTTCTTTAGAGTGACTGCTATATTCGTATACCATTCTAGTGCTTTAGAGATATGATCAAATTACCTTTTACAGCAAATTTGGAAGACTTATCAACTTTCTATCTAAGCGCTTCACAAATAGCTAAATTAAATCCATCAAATTTGCTTCCATTATCTAAAAAAGATTTAGAAATTAGTAGGTTATTTATACTAGCATTTAAGTATTGTAAGAACGAAAACCACTCATCTTTTTTTGACTTCTCCTCTTGAGTCTTTTGAGATAGACATATTTATGTATTGACAGTAAAAGTTTTGGCAATAGCTTGTCATACATTTCAGGTTGGCTGGATTCTGAAGACAACTTTTCATTTACTAGCGTCTATTTTTTTTACCAGTTGATATATTCAGTCTATCTATTATTTTCTTTGTCATAACTATTACTTATTATTTTTATCATTATCAGAATCTGAAGGCGTGTTTGGAATTTATAGGTATGAGAGGCTTAAAATAAGTTTGATTAAAATTAGATCATGTTATCTGTCTATTAGAATAACTGCCTTTACTATGACCCATTTCTTTACAAATATCGCATTTACGTATATTTAGTTTCTGAAATTGATTAGTTAATTGGTTTACTGCATCACGAGTTTCATTAATTCTATCGTCTGCTCTATTGATCCTAGCAGACATATTATTTCATTGAGGACAGGGTCTTTGAAAAGGTTTTATAGGATAATCTGAATCTAAATCTTTCTTACACTGATCGAAATAGTCCAAATCGGCTATAAATTAGATAGCTGAATTTAGGCCAATTTTGGTACTATTTTCAGCAGGTTTGTTATTTTCTGATCGACACAATCTACGCTGATTGACCCAAACAGATAATACAAATCGACGCCAATCGATAAAACCATTTGGCATTAATTCAGAATATAAATTCCATCATAAATCGGCTTCAATTTGGCCAAATTGACACCAATCAACTCAATCTGATATAACCATTCGACATCAATTCAGAATATAAATTCTACCATAAATCGGCTTCAATTCGATCAAATAAGTATTATAAAAAATCAGCCAATAGCGATATATTATTTATTAGCAAATATTTAATAATAAAAGCTAATACAAAAACCAATTTGTTCTATATTAAAAAAAAATAATGATATGATAAAAAAAATTGTCTCAAAATCCACTGAAATCATCCCAAATATCTATATAATATAATAATAAATGATAAAAAAAAATCATCCCAAAATCTCCCGAAATCATCCCAAATATCTATATAATATAATAATAAATAATAAAAAAAATCATTCCATTTTTCTCCCAAAAATCCCCTGCAATTAATTTATTCTTCCAGATTTTCATCATCACTTTCCGCTTCAGAAGAAACTCCCCTTTGAATCTCTTCTACTTCTTCACTTTCTGTAATTAGCTCTTCTTCTACACTAACTCCTGCATCTTCTTCTATACCATAAACGATATTCAACGATTGGTTATTATAAGACTATTTAGGAGCATTCAGAGGATGCGGGCAGTTGTATTGCTACAATTCGTCGTTATATTTTTGTTTCTTTGAATTTGAGACGAAGTTGCAGCAATTGGATCAAGTACATTTCTTAAAAGATTTTTGAGCTAAAAGAAGAAAAGTAGAAAGAATGTTAATATAAACATATTAAATAAAAATCAAAAAAATGTAAATTAAAAAAAAACCTCAGCCGATCGCCATGAATAATCATATACAGCGATAACAGATTTTTGTTTATCATCATCCATTTTGCTGATTTTGGGCAAATGGTATTGACGAGTGGCTAGTATGAGGATTAAAGGCTGCTTTTTATATTTGTAATTCGCTTATTATTAATTGAATATAATGATTTAGCAGCCTTTACCCTTCGAATTTTTTTCTAGTAATAATAAATGATATTAAATTATT